CTCAGGGCACATTCAGCAGCTCAGAAACCCCTGGATCAAAAACTGCCCTGCTGGGGATGGGGATGGGGAGATGTTCTGCCTGCAGCTCAGCACTGAGGGCTGCAGCACCTTCCTGCCAGCTGCCAGCCTGGTTCCTGCTCTGATAGAGTGAGGCAAGCTGGGCTGGAGAGAGGAATGGTGCAGCAATGGCCTCTCCTGCTCTGGAGGCCCCAGCCCTGAAGAGGGGTGGCTGTGCTCTGCTGCTGTGGGGAGTGGGTGCTTTAATGGGGTTCAGTCCATGAGGGGCTGCAAAAGGCTCCAGCCCTGCTGTGGGATGGGGCTCCCATGGCTGAGGAGGGGCAGAGCCCCTGGGATGGGAATGGGGCTCTCATGGCTCAGGAGGGGCACTCTGGGGACAGGGCAGAGCCTCTCTGCACTCTGGAGAGTGTGCTGGGCCTTGGTGGCTTTTCAAAGCCTGTGTTCTCTGTGTTCTTCAGTACCTGGCAGAGCAGAATATTCACACTGAGATGACTGAGCAGATTCATCAAAGGCCACAAGCCCAGAGCTCAGAGGCACCAGGTTTGTCCGTTCCTGAACAGCCCTTCCTCTCTCAAGCTCTCCAAAGGCACCAACCCGGGGAGTTCAGCACTGCCTGTTCCTGCTCCTGCTGCAGTGAGGAACAGGGATCAGACCTGGAGACATTTCCTGTGTGTGCACTCCAGACTGGCACTGCTGCCTGCACTCTGCCTTCCAGCTCAAGGACTAAAGCTGAGAAAGGCACTTTGAGCCCAAACTTAGCTGGATGGCTTCAGTGCCAAACTTGTGACTTACACACAAGATTAATTCTTACCTCCCAAATCTTTTCGTGTTAAGGAGGTAGAGAACCGTTCTGTCAGTGTCCAATAAATGATTTCAGAAGCAAGTTTTCCACTGGAGGGAAACAGAAATAAAATACAGCAGTCCAGGATTTCAGCGGGAAAGATTTAACTCATTCAGAGCTGGACTGCTCCACACCTGTCAGAGCCTTCCTTACACTCAGCACTTCCTGGTCACAAATGTCACCTGGGTCACAACACAGGTCCCTTTCAGGCACAGCAGCTCCTGCTCAGCTCTAGAGGTAGAAACAGGTCTGTCATTTACCAAAAGAGAACATTCAGCCAGATGCTGGAGTCTGGCATACCTCCAAGTACTCCAGAAATAACTCCCAGGGAGGTGTGAATCATCCTGCTCCTGGGAAGGTGTCCTATCCTGCTCCAGGGAGGTGTGGGTTATCCTGCTCCAGGGAGGTGTGGGTTATCCTGCTCCATGGAAGGTGTTCTATCCTGCTCCTGAGAAGGTGTTCTATCCTGCTCCAGGGAGGTGTGGGTTATCCTGCCCCAGGGAAGATGTCTTATCCTGCTCCAGAGAGGTGTGAGTTATCCTGCTCCAGGGAGGTGTGGGTTATCCTGCTCCTGGGAAGTGTGTTATCCCACAGATGTGCCCTATGCAATGTGTGTGCAGTGCGCAGGGGCCTGTGCCACAGGAGGATCCCATGGTCTGTCAAATTGTCGGGCTCAAATTGTCTGTCCAACTTTGCTAGGTGGTTTTCCACATCAAACCTAAATCTCTTTCCTACAACTTAAACGTCTTTATTAAGAGGTTATTCTTCCTCTTTTCCCCCCATGCACCAGGAGAACTCATCCTGCCTTTCTCTTCTCTTCTCTGTTCTCCCTCCTGCACTTGAAGGCTGCATTAATCTTTACAACCTCTCTGGAAAACAGAGCACTGCTGTTATCTCCAAAAAAAGAATGGCAGCAGAGGAGCTGAGGGTGTGGTTTCTTGCTTGGTTTCAGATATCCAGAAGTTCAGAGTCTAAACTCATCCTGTGATGCTCTCTGTGGTATCTGGCACAGCCTTCCCCAGCTGGGAGTGCCCTGAAAGGGGCTCCCTGTGCCACCCCTCAATCCCATCCCTTCAGCACTGACATCCTGAACTTCCCCACCACAGAAGGTTTTCATCGAGGACAGGATTAAGGGCAAAAAGGACAGGATTAGGGGCAAAGGGCAGGATTAGGGGCAAAGGACAGGATTAGGGGCAAAAAGAGCAGGATTAGGGGCATGCAGGGCACTGCTTTCCAAACACCTCTGAGTTTCTGCAGCTCTCATGCAGAAAATTCAAGGAGAGCGGAGAAGGGGCCATTGGAGAGGCTGTGGCAGCCAGTTCCACATGTGCTGCTCAGCATCTGAGACACATCCTTCGCTGAAATATTGATTTAGAGGCAAGACTCAGGAAAAGGGCCATTTTCAAGTTTACTCATAATGCTGACTTTCATGTGCAAAGCAACTGCCTCGCTTCATCTGAGCAAAAAGCTTTATCGGGTGCTCCTTCCTTTTGATTGCTTTTTGACACTAAATCTGTGATTTGTTTGAAATCTGGCAGCAGAATAAAACTGTAACAAGGAGAGGGTAAAGCTCTGTCAGTCTAGAGAAAAGGAGATGGAATCAATTTTTCCAGTTTAAAAAACCTAAATTACATTGTTACTAATACATGCTGTAAATTCAAGCTGTTAATTGGAAAAAAAAAAGAACATAAACATTTCAGGGGTTTTTAGTGTTAGTGTCAATCTGGCACTTTGAGAAGAAACAAGCTCTATTTTTCATTTGAAGTGATGTTTCATTTCAAAACCTCCTTCAATTGGACTTATTAGCTGAAAATTGCTCAAGAAATGCCAGAATTGTAAGAGATTTATCAAGTTCATCTCTCAGGGTTTTTTTAAATTATTTTTTCAATTCATTAATGATATGAGGATCATTCCTCATATCATTTAGTCACCAGCAAACCATCCAATTGTTCCTCTGCTCAGCTCAGTGCAGATGTGGGGTGAAAGGGAAATTCAGCCCCTGGGAAAGGAGAAATAGATGAACTGGGGTTATGTTCCCTGAGCCTGCAGAGAAATGCCAGGTATGGGCTTAGAAAAATCCTTAGAACCATCTCTGAAAATCCCAGCTTTTTGCCAGTTTCTCTTTGTAGAAAAAAAGTAAAACCAAATGGAAATTAAAATTAAAAAAAAAAAAAAAAACCAACAGAAAACAAAAAAAATGGAGAGGGACAAAAATGGGGATGGGGAGACGGAATTCTCTGAGATGGAATATTTTGGTTTGAGATTATTTATTCTGAGTAGGGGTTTGCATAAAATAAAAAAAGGAGGTTATGAAAAAGGGAAAAATCTTATTGACATCAGAGTGAACCAAAACCATGCAGTGGCAAACAGAAAATTCTTCCTCCTAAACTTACTTTCAAAAATAACAAGAGTCTGCACTTAAGCCCCAAATCTCAATAAACCAGACAAAAGATAATTGAGCTGGAAAACCTTGAGCCAGCCATGCTGGTGGAGCCAAGGCCTTTGCCAGGGAAAGCTGTGCAGGATGCAGCCCTGAGGGCAGGCAGCTCCATCAGCTCAGAGAAGCTCCAGCCCCAGCCCAGGCTTTCCCCAGGGAATGGTCACTCCCAGCCTTGCCTGGCCCTGCTGTCCCTGGCACATTCCTGGCTGTTCTTGGACATGAGAAGGGTTTGGAGGTGCTGGGGGATCTTCCCACTCCCTCTGCTCCCTCCTGGGAGCTCTGCTGCCTCAAGCCCCAATGGGGTTTAGCAGGGCAGCCTCCAAAGGCACTCAATGGGCCCTGCTCTCGTGCTGACCTCCTTCCCTGGGAATGTGCAAGGAGCCAGGATCAGGGCAGAGGATTCCTGAGTGACAGCCCAGCATCCCACCAAGCACTGATGGCTGTGGTGCTTCCAAATGGGAGCCAGTGCTTGAGAGCAGCAGTTTCTGGCTCCTTTTGGCTCAATTCCCTGCCCTGGCCCAGCTAATCCAAAGACAGAATTAGCCATGGCAAGACATCTTTTCTGTCATGAGCTTGATGTAGTTCTAAAATAACCAGGATTTAAAGCAGATTCATTTTCTGTGCAGATTCATTTCAATCTTTCTCTTCTAAACCCAGGCACAGAACATTTGGATGATGCCTCCCTTTCTCTGGGAATATGAAATTTCTGCAGCACCTTCTAGCAAGTGTAGTGCTTGGCCTGGATCCATGGGAAGACTGGCCTGGCTGGCTGGATCCATAAGAAGTAACTCCAGAAGGAACACAGGGGTCCCCTCTTTCTGGGGTGGTTGAGATGGGCTCCAGGGGCTACTTCAACCCCTCCAATCATGCTCTGGCACAGGCTGGGAAATGTCTGTTTTCTGCAGCAGAATTATTAAATGTTGGGAAGGAATCCATCCCTGGGAGGGTGGGCAGGCCCTGGCACAGGGTGCCCAGAGCAGCTGGGGCTGCCCCTGGATTTCTGGAAGTTTCCAAGGCCAGGCTGGACACTGGGGCTTGGAGCAGCCTGGGATAGTGGAAGGTGTCCCTGCCATGGCAGGGATGGCCCTGGATGGTTTTTCACATCCTTTCTAGCCTAGGCAGATCCATGACTCCATGGTCATGGGGCAACTGAACCATACTCCTGATTTCCACAGCTTTCTAAAATACTACCAGATAATAAGAAATATCCTCATTTTTGTCCCCCATTCTGGTGCCTGTCCTCCTCAGGTTCTGCATCTGGCAGCTGGAGGGACATTCTGGGCCCCTCAGTTTAGGAGGGACATTGAGATGCTTGAGCGAGTCCAAAGGAGAGCAACAAGGCTGGTGAGGGGCTTGGAGCACAAGCCGTATGAAGAACAACTGAGGGAGCTGGGGTTGTTCAGCCTGGAAAAAAGGAGACTCAGGGGTGACCTTATCACTCTCTTCAACTTCCTGAAGGGTGGCTGTGGTGAGCTGGGGGTTGGTCTCTTTCTCCGGGCAGCAACAGACAGAACAAGAGGACACAGTCTCAAGCTGCGCCAAGGGAGATACAGGCTAGAATTAGGGAGGAAGTATTTTACAGAAAGAGTGGTCAAATACTAGAATCATCTACCCAGGGAGGTGGTAGAGTCACCATCCCTCAAAGAGTTTAAAAAAAGACTGGATGTGGCACTTGGTGCCATGATCTAGTTGAGGTACTAGAACACGGGTTGGACTCGATGATCTTAAAGGTCTCTTCCAACCTAGAAATTCTGTGATTCTGTGATTCCCAAAGACTCAGGAAGGGCACACTCCTGGAGCTGAGGAGGCACCATGCTGCCAGGAGAGTTTTTAGTGAAATCCTTGCAGCTGTCATCAGAGTTCGTTCAGTGCCAGTATCACTTGTGAAACACCTGGATAAATGCTCTGTGTTCCCAGCCCGTTCTGTACTGAAGTAGGGAACCCAAATCTCTCCCTTTCAGCACATTCCACTGGGAGCAGATGCCACCCTGACCCCTCTCCAGAGGGGGCTCAGCCACCTTCACCTGCCCATCAGTTTCCCAATTCTGCTCAGCCCAGACAGGAATGTGGTGTTACAGAGTGAGGGGACAGCCTGAGCTGTCCTGAACAAGAACTGCCTGCAACCATCACCCAAATCTTGCAGCCATCAGCCAGACATCCCCACCTAGAGCCACAGAGGAGATGCTTCATGGGAGAGCAGCTTCTCCTCCTCACACTGCACCTGAGGGCACCTCACACTGCACCTTCACATCTACCTGACACACAGTAAGAAGAGATGCCACCACAGCCACAGAAACAAGGAACTGAGGGATGCATTCAGGATCATTTCAGTGCCTGCACTTTGGTGCCCACCTGGGCAGAAACAAATGATGCAGAGGAGCTCTGTTTGGGAAAAGTTTTCAAGTGACGATGTGAGTCTGTCATGCAGCAGCTGGATCTTCTGGGAGCTGGTGGAGGAAGCCTTGCTCTTGACATTGCATTTTCTAGTCATTTCTTAACCTAGAGATGACAGCTCTTTCAGGGAACAGGGAAAGGTGGTATCCAAAGGCTGTCTGAAATCCAAATCCGGTATAATGATCTGTCCTCAAAGCACAGACTGTGAACTGGTTCTTCACAAGAGCCTGGGGGATTCAGTGCAGTGGGTGCTCTGCTCCTCCTGCAGTCACTCCTGAACCACTGTCCTCTTCTCACAGCAGTGCCTGAGCAGGTGGCACCTCCTGGGCAATGCCTGTGCTGAAGGACCCTCAGTGAATCCCTCCCTGGATGGCTGGTCCGAGCTGGGGTGGTGCCAAGTACTGGCTTCAAGGCTTCTCCTCCTCCCTGCATGGCCACACCACACACCTGTGCTGTTTGGGGCTCCATGTTACTCCCATCCAGTGGCAGCTGTGGAGAAAGGAAACAGATGACACTGACAGAATCCTTGCTTCTCCCATGCCACCATCCCGATCTGCCTGCTTTGGGGGTGGGGGGGAGAGTATCCAAGTTAAAGGGTCATGAGCTCCTCTCCCTTTGGCATAAAGAGCTTTGCACTCTTCCCTTCCATCTCTTCTACCTCACCTCCCCCTTTCCCTCCACAGCAAACCACGCTCAGAAGGTTCAGGTTGATCCTGTTGATGCTTGGACACCACCCCAGGGTTCTGGTCTGACAAATGGGGGACAGATTGTGCCACATCCCTGAGACATCACTGGGAAAGTGGCAAACAGAGCAGGACCTGACGCTTCCTGAGCCACACGTTACCACACACACCCCTCAGCTCCTCAGTGGGCAGCAGGACCACATAATGGGAGGGCTGAGCCTCCCAAAGGAAAAGCAGAGCTGGTGTTCCTGCCAGGAGCAAAAGGACCTGTTAAAAAAGAGCAAGTGTGGCTGTAAATGGGCATTTCACAGCATGGTCACCCTGCTCATGAATGGAACTGAGGAGAGGGGACTCCTCACCGACACACACAGGAAGAAGGGGCTTCTCCTACTGCAAACCCCAAAGGGATGGAACTTACTCCCAATCAATGCTTTGCCCCAAACAAACATGACAACGTAGCAACACTCTAACAGTGTGTCCTTCAACAAGAACAGTCCAAAGTGGGCTCCTTCCATGAGCAGGTCCTGACAGCTCAGAGTCCCTCTGTCCCCTCTGAACACCCACAGTGGGTGCAGTTCCTCCAGAAGGCTGGGAGAGCCCAAGTGGGACAGCCCTTGCAGGGTTCCCAGGGCCTGCACTGTTGTCACTGCAGTGTCGGGGCAGGAGAGCAGGGAGAATCCTCTTGGATCACCAGGGTTTGAGGGCAGCCAAAACAGGGCTGAAGAGGTGTCGAGGTTTTCCTACAGCTCCAGAGGATGGAAGCTGCCTTGCTGTTCTTCCTGGCAGGCTGATGACATCATCCAGCTGGTCCTTCTGTGGCAGAGGTCCCAAGGAGGGGCAAAGATTCCCAAAGAGGCCCAGAGCCCTCAGGCATCCTCTGCTGGGGATTGGCAGTCCAGATGTTGATCCTGTGGACAGTGGGCTGGAGGAGGAGGGAGGGCTGTTAAATATCAGGAGCTGTCACTGCTGAGTGTGGCCCAGGGAACATCATGGCCCAGCTCACCTGCAAGGATGGCTTTGGTGGCAAGTCAGATGGATCCTGGGCTAATGAGTTAGCTGTGGGTGAGTTGATTGCAGAGAGTGGATTGATCATGGAATAAAGTACAGAAACTGGTTTAAGTGTTGTGTGTTTCCACCTTCCCTTCCCTTTAGTAACCATGGTAGGAATCCCTTTGCCCTCCCCAGCCAAGCTTTCTTTGGACAGGCCTGTCAGGAACTCACCTTGACCCAAATCTGATTATGACCAGTGCCAGGCTGGGATTTTTACACCTTCTCCAGCTCGTTCTGCCCTCAGCAGTCTCTGGAGCTGGTCCCCAGAACTGACACAGGAGGGCTGTGGCCACTCCAGCTGCACCATCCACAGCCACCACGAAGCTGCCCAGGCTGGGACACTGCAGGGACCTGCCCCAGCTTTAAATGCAAAGAAACCCCAGGCACAGCTCCTCTGGGCACCTGGTGTCACTCAGGGAGGGTGGAGGCGGCAGCTGAAATGCTCCATTCCCGTGGGATGCAGAGGCCAAGTGCCTCCTGCCTGACATTCTGCTCCCACAGAAGCATCTCTAATGTTCAGTTTGGGCTCTGAGATCTTGCAGCATCTGTAGGCTCTGGGCCAACTCTTCTTGGTGATGCTCTGACAATGCTGCTGCTGCTCTGCCATTGGGAGAGATGTTCCCATAAAACTTCGTAATTGCCCAACTCCCCAGACTCAGATTCCTCCTGCATGCCAACTGTGAAGGAAACGTTTCTATTTTTAGCTTGGAGGTGTTGGCAAGAATTGCAGCGGCTGGATCTGCATTTCAAGCAGGCAGGTAACAGCACAACCCCTCATCCCAGGCCTTGCTCTGTTCTGCTGCAGGGATTGCAAACCTTGGTGCTCAGGCTCTGCTCTGCTCCCCTGCCAGCCACAGGTGAGATGCAGGAACAGGGAAGGCTTCTCATAAGGAATTGCTTGTGGGATTGAGAAAGTTTTGCATGGGCTGTGTTCATAATGTCTGTGTTTAAAGGCTGCAGGGCTTTTTCTACCAATTTACTCCTTTCTTCCCTTCTGAATTTTATTTTCAAGCAGGGGAAAATCTTTTCCAAGGTCAGGGAGAGGTTATGCTTTCAGACTTTTGTAGTGCATAGCTTCAGGCTGGGTTAAAATTCCCACAACGATCAGAGCTGTCTTGCCTGGCATTCATTTCTTCTGCTGTCTTTATCTCATCCCTTCCTGAATCTTGTTGGAAGCTGAAGCCATTGTGGCACACCAAAAGCAGAAGACACTTTTCCCTGCCTTTTTTTTCCCCGCCTTTATTTTCCCCTTTAACCCAGCAGTGGTTTGTTGTTTCTTTTTGTCTCCTTTGCTCTGTTTTCTCATGGTTGACAGAAATGAACTGCTCAACTCTGCAGTCAGGATATTGGGGGAAATGCAGCAATTCCTATTCCAGAGGAAGCTGGGACACTCTGAGCATTGGAAACACCCATCCCCTTTTTTAAGATTTCCCTACACTGGCTCAGTTAATGCCACCTGTGCCATCTGTCATGTTATGACCCCAAAATGGGACAAAAGCACCATTTTGTGGGATGCAAACCCAAACACTTGATTGTATTTGGGAATCAAAGACCCATGGGATTGAACTGTGGGAATGTTGCCTGTAAATGTGGCACAAACACATTGAGGTTTTCTCTGTGGTGCTGCAGCTCCAGCCCAAGCATCATCTCCCATCACAAACCCCTTTGACTGGGGAGTCACAGTCTGGGGAAATGCCTTTGGACAGGAGAAGGATGCTGTACACTAATAAATAATGGGAAGTGATGATCCTGCCTGGGCCAACAGAGAGGGAGAGCTGCAAACCCAGTGAACAGGTACAACTGGCATCCCTGGAGCCAAGCGCATGGAGGGGCCTAAAACTGAATTAATGACTGCTGGAAGGGCCTAAAACTGAATGAATGGCTGCTGGAAGGCTGGGCTGTCAAGGAAACACCTGGGGCACACTTGGGCTTCTCTCTAGATTTAAGGCCTTGCTATCAGGGACTTTGTCTGCACTCTCATGCTTTTAACAGCGGCAGATGACCCTATATTTGCAAAGACAGAATGTAGCACAGATAAATTGTCCTGGTATCAGCTAAGCCTTGAAGAGAATCACTGGATAAAAGGGTGTGATGGATATTCACTGCAAAGACAACTGCCAGGCCTTGCTCGAGGTCCATCCTTCTTTGTAGGGACACAGATACCTGGCTGCAAGTGCCTCACAGGCTGAAGGGCTCTCCTAACTTTCCCATTTAAGACAATATTTCCCTCCCACAACCAGCTTGTCCCAGCAGCCCCCAGCTGTGTGTGAAGGAGCTGCTGGGTCAGTAATGGTCCATTCATGGCCAAAGAGCCCCTGCCAGGGAACGGTCATCGTGGTCACTGCTCTGAGCTGTCATTGCTGAAGGTTTCAACTGCTGCCAGGTCTGGGTATTGCCAGAGGGGGCAGCCTGAGGAAGGTCGAGGGAAATCCATTCTTTGTGCATGTGACTGGAATTTCTACATGTACAAGTGCATTAATATTCTTGTGTCCCCATATGAGATGCTTTGCCTTGATCTGCCTTTGCCTTTTCTCTCTCAGTCCCAAGTGGTGTCCTCCACTTGTCTCCAGGCCAGTGATAACCCCTGCTCCCTTTTCCTGCTGTGTTCTCATCCCACGGCAGAAACAACACAAACATGTGAAAAATGCATGTATGTTAAGATTGGCTTTTCGCAAATATTAAAAAGAATATTATATGTGTTGTGTTAGAAAGTAATGCTGTCTTAATTTTCTTAAGTACTGTGTTAAATATAGTTTTAGGTTATAAAAATTGTTAAAATAGAAACTATGCTATGTAAGATGCTTTGTTTAAAAGAAAGGACTTGCAGCAAGATAGCAGCCACAGGACACCTGAATCTTTCAGAGAAAAGGAATTTATTGCCCTCTTATCAGAAGAAACTAACTTCTTCCCACCTCGAAGGCGCTGTTAGGATTCAGAGGAAGAAGTTGACGATGACCAGACAGAATCCTGTGTTTGAATGGAATTTATGCATCATGTATGAAGTGTATGAATATGCAACAAGCTATTGCTTTTAAGGGTTAATCCTTTGTTAACATGGGTCCTTTTTCAGGCTCATGCTGCCCAGAAAATGGTATCTGGACATCCGTAACTCTTTGTATTTATTGTCTCATATTGTCCTAATTCAAATTGTCCAAATTATTATTACTCTAATTGTGTTACTATTTTTAACCATTTTATTACTATTAAACTTTTTAAAAATTTAAAAACAAGTAATTGGCATTTTTCACAAACACAGGCAGCAAATACCAAAGAGGATGGTGCTGTTTCTGAATGCAGCAGAGCCACCGAGGCTGGGCTGGCAATGTGTGCTGTGTCTCAGTTGTGCAGCTCCTGTTACCTCTGGTATTGAAGATTATCACACCCCTTTAGTACAGGAGGGAATTTATCCCTGCTCTGTGCTCCCACGTCAGTTCACAGAGTGTGCACAGCCTGCCCTTCAGGTCCTTGCACTCTGCACCCTCCAGTCAGTGCAGAGAGGGAATAAAAGCACAGGAGAGTCAAGGTACCAGATTCCCCTGAATGATGCAGCTATGCTGTGCTCAAAACAAAAGCAGAAAATTGTGTGGTTAATCTCAGCTTCCCTGGAACCCAGTGCGATGCCTTTATCTGTAATTCTTTCTCTACCACCAGGAAAAAACCCAAATCCTTTTTACAGAATTGTTGAGGTTGGACAACTGTTGCCGGGCTTGCAAGGGTTCCTCGGGGGTGAAGAGATAGACGAGAATCTTGACTCCA